AAATCCGTTTGAGGTTTTTTGTTTTTGTTTTCTAACATGTGCTGATACTTTGATGGGAAAAATTATTTCTGCTAACTTCTTGAAATATCCTGAGGTAATTGACATGACAGAGACCAATAATACCTTCATCTTCATTTTTCTCATATGGCAAAGACCCCAGAGAAAAAAAGGGGACGCTCAGGGATTTTCAGATCGCCGCCCTTTGGGATCATGCAGGGCAGTGAAATTAAGGGGGAAATCAGAGGGGTCCACTTAGGTGGCTAATGTTCTATTTTTATCGAGTAAGGAGGATTAGCAACTGCACAATGTATCTTTCCCATCCACATGGCGTTTTGCTCTCTCAAAATGTTTACTTGTGGATTTGCTGTCTACGCTTATGTAATATTTAAAAAAAGGAAAATCATGGCTCCTACAAATAGAAAAGGACATGTGTCAAAGATTTCACGAACAGATTTACAGCCGATTCAAAAGACAATCAACCCCGCCCCCACACCCGCCACCCCACTCCACTCCCCAGGAAAGCAGGCAGTCAGGACCACGGAAGCAAAGGCACACTGGGATCTACAGGGCAATGCTTACATTCCACTGGATAAAATTCATCTGCATTTCTATGGGCAAGAGTCATGTGTATTACAGCAGTTTCTCAACAGAGTTGTGAAATAAGACAATGAAAGGCACAGGTTGCCGGGATAATATCTTCTAGAAGCCAGCAGTCCCGGACACCAGAGAGCAGGGATTGTGTCTGTCTGTTAACTGTATCTCCCCAGTCCCCTGTACCCTGTACCCTGTACCCAGTACCCTGAACACTGTAGTTCCTCCGTGAAGATTACTTGAGTGAATGACTGTTCTGTGGCATCTTCCCAAAACTCCCTATGTCTTTTTGGAGGTAAAAACACTACTGTACAAACCAAGTAGTATTACTAAGTCCTAGGTAGATACTGTTGCTTCTGGAAAGTTCTTGAGTTATTTTTCAAAAGGGGGGTCGGTGTGTTTCAGGGAGGGGAATGATGAGATTAGTGTTGGACACAGCCTTGCTAGACATTTAAAAATAATTTCACCTCCCATTCTGGCCTGGTGGGTCTCAACCCTCCAGGACATTTTGCCCTCCAGGACATTTCACAATATCTGAAGACATCTGTGATTGTCACAACTGGGAGGGGGGAGGGGAGCCGCTGCTGGCTTGTAGGGGAAAGCAACCAGGGTACTGCTAAACATCCTACAATGCACAGGAAAGCCCCCAGGATAAAGGACTATTCAGCCCACATGTCAGTAGCACCCAGGTTGAGCAGCTCTGCTGGAGGGAACACCTAGAGCCTTCACCCAGAATCATTCAGAAAGAAGATTCCAGGCACCCAAAGAACTTCACTTCTCCCTGCAGCTGGAGAGCACCCAAAAGATTTGTAATAATTCTGAGTTCCCAAGGCGCCTGGGTGGCTCAGCTGGTTAAGTGTCCGTCTGACTCTTGACTTCGCTCAGGGCATGATTTCAGGGTTGTGGGTTCGTGCCCTGTGTTGGGGTCTGCACTCAGCTGGGAGTCTACTTGAGAGTCTCTCTGTGTCCCTACTCCGCTCAAGTTTGCTCTCTGTCTAGCTCTAAAATAATTTTTTTTTTAAATTTTATTTGACAGAGCGCATGCAGACAGAGAGGCAGGCAGAGGGGAGAGGGAGAAGCAGGCTCGAGCCCAACTCAGGGCTCCATCCCAGGACCCTGGGACCATGACCCAAGCTGAAGGCAGACACTGAACCAACTGAGCCACCCAGGTGCTCCATAAATAAATAAGTCTTAAAAAAAATAATAATTCTGAGTTCCCATGTTCCCTGCCTCCATTTCATGTATGCTAGCGCCCTTGACCTCTTGTCTACTTACTGCCAACATGCTATAAACAGCTTGGAGATCCATGTAAACAAGGCTTCGTGGTGGGCTGTACAGAGATCTCAAAACAGATTATGGCCTCAGCCTACCATCTGTGGATGAGGCTGGGTGGCCTCTACGCACCTCAGTGTCTTCTGGAAAGCAGAGACTGGACTAGGTTGGCTTATCTGTTAAAGACCTTTCTGTTCCAGGTATCAGTACGGGGAGCTTCCTGTACTCAGGGCCTGCTGGGCCGAGAGGGCTCCAAGGGTCACAAAGAGACTGCAAGCAAAACCCCGAGGTGACCATTCCCAGGACCGCGGGGAGAAGGCAGGGCCGGGCCGGGAAGAGGGAAGCGGTGTCCTGCTGAGTGGGACCCCCAGCTACCCCTCCCTCCAGTCACCGCCCTGTCCTAGCCCTGCCCTTCTCCTGGCCCACAGCACGGCTCTCAAAGGCCCCACAGGCCTCTCTCCTGCCTCATGCATCTAGATCTCTCGCAAGATGAGATAAAAGCTTTTAAGTGCCTCTCTTCCTGAGGGATTGCCTTGCTGAAGTCTTTTGAGAAGTGTCTTTTCCAATGCTTATTTATAAAAGTGTACTGAAAAAAAAAAAAAACTTGGGAAAACAGAAAAACAGTAAAAATCATCCCTCTTTTCACATGAAAATATTACCTCTGGAGAATAAGAGGGGGCTCCCTTGGTCTTTTAAAAAATTGTTCATTTAGGTGCACCTGACTGGCTTGGTTGGAAGAGCATGTGACTCTTAATCTTGGGGTGAGTTTGAGCCCCACGGTGGGGCGCCTGAGTGGCTCAGTGGGTTAAGCCTCTGCCTTAGGCTTGGGTCATGATCTCAGGGTCCTGGGATCGAGCCCTACATCGGGCTCTCTGCTCAGCGGGGAGCCTGCTTCCCCCTCTCCGTCTGCCTGCCTCTCTGCCTACTTGTGATCTCTCTCACTGTCAAATAAAATCTTTAAAAAAAAAAGAATAAGACACAATAAAAAATGATTATGTAAAAACATTGTAAAAGTCATACATGTTTACTAAAGAAAAAAGTAGAAAGAGTAGATTAAAAATAAGGAAACTTCTAAGATCCATGTACCAGCCTCATGCAAGATGTTTATAACAAGGGAACTGCTGAGTTTGGGTTGGGGGCGACATGGAGTAGATAGGTATGGGGTTAGGGGAAGGAGCTCTTGCTCCTATGTGCTCAGATTTTGTGTAAATCCCAAACTAACCCCCCAAAATAGTCTATAAATTAAACCGTATTTTAAATATCTATCTAGAATCTTTTTGTCCAGAGAGGACCAATGGTAAGTACTATGGTGCTTGTTCTTTAATTAGGGAAACATAAGGATATTCCCAACAGTAGGGGGAGGAGGAATCGTAATCGCTTCCCTTCCCTGAGTGTTACCGTGCACATGCATTGTGCTAAGGGCTTCCCATTCCCATGATTGCACTGAACTCGTCCAACTCTGTAATAATGAGCCTTACAGAGTGCTTCCTCTGCATAGCCACTCTTCCAATCGTTTTCTATTTATGATGAACTCATTTAAACCTTCCAACAATCCTGTGAGGCTGGCATCATCCACACTTTATGGATGAAGCCACTGAGGTCTGGCCGTTTGTAAGTTGTCCGGGAGAGTGATACAGGATAGCAGAGCCATGGTTCTACTCCAGCTTTCAGAAAAAGAGAGCACAGTCTGATGGCGGTGGCCGTGGATGGGTTCCACAAGGGCCGCAGGGAGCTTGGAGCTATCTGGAAATGGGGACTGGGAGGTGGCTGGAAGTGTTGTAACTTCGTCCTGCCTGTGAGAGGCTGAAAAGCCAGGCCCTGGAGCCCAGCCTAGTTCCTTCCTAAGCTCATTGCTTTGTGCAGGCCACTCTGACCTGCTATGTCCCTACCTGTAAAATGGGGTTGATAGCGCCCTAGCTGGCAGAGCTGTTGGAGGATTAAATATGGAACCCCATGCACGTTTTAGGTGCATGAGGAAAAACCAAAGCTCACCTGTGCAGGGCCCCAGATGTGTGGGGTCACAATCTCTGGTCTTTTCTTTTGGCCTGTGTGGGAGTGGAGTGGAGAGGAGGGTCTAGGGTTTGCCGCTGAGGTGAGGTGGGTGGAGCTTAAGGGGGACCTCCAGGGGAGCAGATAGAGGAGGGTGGGGAGGCCCTACCTTGATGCCACAGTCAGTAAACACAACCAGGTGTTCACGTTTCCTCCACGCAATGAGCACAGAGCAAACCTAGCTCTGTTAGCCAGACAGTGCTCTTTTCCCTTCGAAGGCACAATGCCCCCATTCTAACGGCCTGCTTCTTTTCATGAGGAACTTCACTGTGACATGACATAAGTCACACTTCTGGGTTTGGGATTGGCCTTCCTTTAGGCAGGGTCCTAGACACAGATACCTGGTGGCTCATAGCACACATATTAAAAGGCACCCATACGCCGTGTGAAATATATTAGGTGTAATTAACTTAGAACTTTGCTTTAGTTACAGGAAGCTAGTTTACAGGGTTTGACACTTTGAGGCTCCTCAATTACATATAGCTTTTTAATCCCCCCCCCCTGCCCCTTCTCACTTTCCTTCTGGCACTAGGACTCATTTTCTTCCTGTTCTCAAAGCTTTAACAGGCCCTTGAAAGTTCATGGATCCTACAGACTGTGTGGGAGTGTGTGAACACCTGGGTGCGGATGTGGGTCTGGGTGGAGGGGTCAGATGTGCGTGTGTGTGTGAGATTCTCAGCATGCTTGAATGTGTGTGAGGGCCTGGGAGGGCAAGTGTAAGCCCCAGAGGCAGCTGAGGGAGGGAGTGTGACAATGAGTGTGTGCATGTGTGTGATGGCGAATCCCAGGGATCCAGGCGGGAGAGTGAGGGTGTGTGAGGGGGACTGAAAGTGGAGTGAGGTAGGGTGTGCGATTGTGATCCTGGAGCACCCAAGTATGAAGCCTAAGATTCAGGATGGGGAGAGGAGGGGGACCAATGCTGGGTGAGTGTGGTAGGGTGTACAGGTGTGTGATCGTGGATGTCGGGGGGTGAGATGACGGCGTGTGTGTGTGCACATGCATGCGTGATCGTGGATGTCGGGGGGTGAGGTGGCAGGGTGCGCATGTGGTTGTGAAAGGGGACGACCACAGGGAACAAGCAGGTGAGAATGAGTGCGTGTCTGCAGGGCTGGAGCGTGGCAGTGCATGTTGGTGCCAGCGTGACCACGAGAGGAAATGCCCCCGGTGGGACCGGGGAGTGCGACTGGTGTGTGCATGTGCGGGAGAGCCGCGGATGGGGTTGGGGTGGCGGCCGGCGGGCGCGCGCGCGCACGGCGAGGCGTGGGCGGGGGGCGCGTGGCCGGGTGGGCGCGCGTGGGGGGCGCGCGGCGCGGGCGGGGGGCGGGGACACTGCGGCGGCGGCGGCGCGGACACAACCGGCCGCCCCCCGTGGCAGGCGCGGCGCGGGGCGAGCGGGCGCAGCGCGGAGCTCGGGCCCATGGTGCGCCCGTGTCCGTCGGTCGGGCCGCGCGGGCGGCTCCGCGCGTGGCCCGGCGCTCGCGAGCTCGCCCCCTCGCTGCGGGCCCGGCCCGCCCGCTGCCGCCGCCTCCTCCCCCGGGGCGGCGCGGCGCCGGCGGGCGGCGGCGCGGAGGCCGGACCGGGCGGCGGCCCAGGCGGCGCTGGGGCGCGGCGGCCAAGGCGGGCGGCGCGGGCGACATGACGGACAACATCCCGCTGCAGCCGGTGCGCCAGAAGAAGCGGATGGACAGCAGGCCTCGCGCCGGGTGAGCGGGGCCCGGGGACGGCGGCCGCCTTTGTCCGCGCGGGCTGGGGTTGGGCGCCGGGCGGCCTGGCCGGGCCTGACAGGTTGGCCGCTCCGCACCCGGCGCCATGAACCGGCGGCTGGCCGGGGAGGCGGGCGGGTCATCCCCGCTGCAGCTCGGGCCCGGGCCCCGTGGGCGATCCGGTCCCTTCTGGGCCCGAGCGCGCGGCTGCCTTGCACTCCTGCCCACCTTCCTTTGGAAACCCCGAGAAGCCGGACCCGCCCCGGCGCTGTTTATCGCGCGCGGAAATAAGACCAGCCGTGCCTTTTCACCCCTTTATTGTTTCCTGATTACTTCTTGTCGTTGTGATTACGATCTGGTCCACATCAAACCTTGCTCCGCGCCTGGGAACGGCCCTCGGGAGCCCGGATATGCTGAGCTTACTGGTGGGGCGAGGCTCGGCCTCCTCCGCAGACCCGGCGCGGAGTCCCCCATCAGCGCCTCCGGGTCCCAGCCTCCGGACGCCGCCTTGCCTTCCCGGCCCTGGGTGGATCTGAAACCCGCAGCCGCAAGAGGCTGGGCGGGGCTCCTCCTGGTCCACGGGAGGACCTCCCGCTCCCCACTATTTGAGGGAAGGAGCCCCCCTGGCAGGGGTGGGGGTTGCCACCTGCTGTGCATTCCCCGCATTGGCAGACCCCAGGGCCGCCTAGGCGTGCGTTTCCTTCTCCTAGAGAGAGAGGACGGGTAGGTATTTTGCGCCCTGCCGTCCTTCCGTTCGGAGGGTGGCAGTGACCTGTTGAGATGGTGAGGGACTTCTGCCTGCGACAGACTTACCTGGGGGTAAGGATTGATTGGGGGGGGGGGGGGTGGGTAAAAAAAATGCCCATTCCCTGGCCTTGGCCGGGCCCGCCAATCAGAGTTCTTGGGGGTGGGGGTGGAACCTGGAAATGTGCTTTTTCCCAGGCTGCCCAGGTGAGGTTGACGTGCCCTCTCGGCTGAGGCCGGGAGCTGGGCGGGGCTGCGGCCTTGGACCCGCCCTTTCCCTTAACATCCTGCGCTCTCAGGCCATTTCCTTGTGGCGGCTGCTGAATGCGGCGTCAGTTGCTTGGTGCAGGAGGCGGGGAGGGATCGCCCTTAGGGTTGCTTGCTTCCATCAGGTGTCCGTGGAATTAAAAAAAAAAAAAAAGAGTGACGCTAGCTGCCATTTTGTGGGGTCTTTGTCCCCGTCTTCCTTGAGTGTTGCGGAGGCCCCTGTTGATGTAAAACAGAGGAGAAAGGAGCTCAGTGAGGTTAAGGACTGCGGGGGAGATGCTGCGAAATGGAGACTGCGCTCAGGGTCGGTCCGCCGGAAGGCAGCCCCCCGTCCCTGCTTTCGCTGTTCTCGCGTCTTTTAATCCTGACTACTCAAGGCTAAACAATGATGATTAACTTGAGCTCTGTGCCTGGATAGTGTCCGCGTGTGAGATACACCCTCGGTAAATACTTCAGTGGATTTGTGTTATCAGTGGACTCAAGTCCTCTAGTTACAATTCGCGTTTAAAAACAATTATGAGCCGCCTACTTGGTGCAGGGGCGGTGCCAGGGGACGGGAATGCAAAGATTAATTAAAAAGCTTTGTCGACGGCGCCTGGGTGGCCCAGCGGGTTGGGCGTCTGTCTTTGGCTGGGGTCATGATCTCCAGGACCTGGGATTGAGCCCCGCGTGGGGCTTCCTGCTCTCCGGGGAGTTTGCTTTTCTTTCTCTCTCTCTCTCTCTCTCCCTTCCTCTCTCCCTTTCTTCTTCTCTTCCTCTCTCCCTTCCTTCCTCCCTCTCTCCTTCCCTCACCCGCTCCTCCTCACTGCTCTTTCTGTCCCTCTCTCAAATAAATGAAATCTTTTAAAACACACACACACACACACACACACACACACACACACACACACACACACA